AACATATCAGTTAACAGTTGTAATACTTAATGCAGGGTCTATAATAGGAATCGTATACAGTCGTGGAATCTTAAGTCGTAGGAAATTGACCAATTACAGTTAAATATAAGGAGAATAATCGGTTCTGACTGCTCAATTTTCTAAACTAAAAATTTCACGATTCTTATTGTAAACAGCATAAGTCGTGTATATGTCTGTCATTTTCTCTCTCTCTCTCTCTCTCTCTCTCTCTCTCTCTCTCTCTCTTTCTATCCAACTAAAACCTATGCCAATACTGGACCCAATATAACCCAATATAATGTCTTTAATCTTTGGCAGAGACCCTCTAATCAGAACCGCGATAAAGAATAATAGAGATTCTAGTTAGAGACTCTAGTTAGAGACTCTCTCTCTTCAAAGTCTCTTTCAAAATCACACGAAAGAGAGGGAAATACGTTGAGTCTCTTTCTAATCTTGATCTTGTGATAAGTCGTGATATGCAATGACATCTTTCTAATCTTAAAGATTATTACACGCGATTTATTAGATTATTAAATATAACTAAATTATTAAATATACAAAATGGTTGAGTGCGTTCGCGCTTGGATGCTTGAATTTGCAGTCTTGCACTTCCGCGAGCTTGTTGCTATGCCGAAATGCAAGGTTTAATTGTGGTAGGTTTTTGGTTTACAACCGATATATACATTTTATTACATGATTGCATGTATATGCATTCACACAGAATAGATTCTAGGGATGACCGGAAAGTATCCGGTATTATCCGGCACTTTTTTACTATCCGACCAGATAGCTGGATATCATTAGTATCCGGGAATATATTCAGTTAGAATTTGATCATTAAATTGTTGATTTTTTCTTATGTTTTAGAAATAAATTTTAAAACATATGTTTTAGAAATAAGTAGCGTATTATATAATAGTAGTGCATATTCATAATGTTATAATATCTTATACATTGTTGCACATTACGATCTTTTTCTCTATAAGGTTTTTTTTAAGATACTTTCTCGAAACCCGGAAAATGTCGGATATCCGAAATTGCCTTCTCGGTTATCTGATCGGATATCAGATATCCGATATTACATTCTGTCCGGATATTCGATATCTGGTATCCGATAATTTTACGATCCAATGCATCCCTAATAGATTCCTTTATTTAATTGATAAAAATTAAAATATTAATTATTCGCGAAACGAGTAACAGGTTCCAAGGAATAAATCAAACAAAGTAAAATAAAGCCAATCACAACAGTAAGCCATCATAAGATCTTCATGTGTTTTAAAACATACTAAAATTTTACACATATAAAAAATAAGAGCATAAAAAACCACAGCACAAGTTATAGTTTGTGATATATAATTATTATTACATTAATTAAAACATTAAACGTTTCGGCCACAATCTGGCCATCTTCAGTAATTCAATAATATTCTTAAAACGCAGAGTTACATCTAGTTGACATTAAATTTAACAGTCGAGAGTTGTAATTAAATAAACATGTTCTTATGTATGTGAAGATGCTTCATGCAGTAATGTTACACCGTCAATTGTCATATCAAGAAAAGTGTAGAACAAGAATTTCCAGATTCTAAATAAAATTGTATATATTAAAATCTTCTAGTCGGAATATAAAGAAATAGAATCATTACCTGTTTTACAGCAAAAAAACCAAACGATGAATCTCGAATATTTCTTTTACACAGTTAGAATTTTGTCGTGACATTATGTGTTGTTATTTGTCCTATCACATATTTTACCACTATTTATATATCTGAATCAAAATTTTTAGAAAGTTCTAGAATTGTTTATTAACAGAAAGAGACATCCTTTTTTAGAAGAGGAAAATAAACCTCAGGCAAACCTTCCGTGTCACTTTGCTTATTGATACCACTTGTTTGTCTTTTTATATGTATCATTTCCGAAATTCTTCTTTCCTTTTAGTTTGGCCAACATAAGACGATTCACAGTTTAAGCAATTAATTTTATAAACTACTCCGCATTGGTCATCCTTAGGCAAAGAATCCTTTTCTGTCTTAATAAATGTATTCAATTTATTCATAGGTTTATAAGCTATATTAAACCGTACATATGTGAAAGTTTTTTAAATTTTTCCGAAACT